GATACATTGGCATGGCTTATGTATGTGATACATTGACATGGCATATGTATGTGTTACATTGACATGGCTTACGTATGTGATACATTGACATGGCTTACGTATGTGATACATTGACATGGCTTACGTATGTGATACGTTGACACGGCTTACGTATGTGATACATTTTTACTGAAGATTCATGCCCGCCTTTCCTAACCCATCGTACGCTCACTACCCTCTCATTGCTTGTACCAACGGCATGTTTTCATCACAGCTTTGAAGACTCTCTATCACACCCGAAACGGCAAGAACGCGAGCAAGAACAAACAAGTGCAGCGCTTCTTGAAGAACATGTCCATCAAAGAAGGCAAGCGCATGAACGACCCTGTCTCCGTTGCACAGATCAGACCCTTCATCAAAGTACACAAACTCGACCAAAGTGATTGGCTGCTCCCAGGTAAGAGGTCTTGTGCGGCCGTCTCGTTAGCGTGAACTGACTCAGTCAGTCGAGTGCGGGTCTCTATGTACTGCTATTTATCAGAGATGTCTGTAGATCACTTTACTAGAACCCTAAACCCTAAACCACATCAGGCCATAAGAGTGTCCTTTCAGATCCTACGCCGTCCGGTGGTGCGTTGCTTTGCGTAGACTGGTATGAGCTCATGCATGCCACCACTATGTGTTTGTTTAAAGCCAGCCGTGTCAATGAAGTCAGGAACACCAGAGCTGTTATGACACAGGACAACTGTAAATTCAGGGCGTGTTTATTGGCTTGGGCTCACAAATGGGGCTAGATGCCATGTCTGGGCTATTCTTACTATGCATGGTCGTTATGGCAACGAAGGGGAGGGTCGCTGGCACAGGCTTCGGCGACTGCATTAATACGTCGCACAGCAAACTCCAACAACTATACCTTTCCCAAAGACTGCTAGCACTTAAGCTTCAAAACGAAACAAATATTCTCATTATTGAATACCTTACTACACCCTTACCCTTCAACCTTTAACTCTTAACTTTTAACCTTCAACCTTCAACCTTCAACTTTTAACTATTAACTTCAACCTTTAACTTTTAACTCTTAACCTTTACTCCTTAATTTTTAATCTTTAACCTCTCGCCATTCATTCCGTGTGCTCGTGCAGTGGACGATGAGAACAAGAACTATCTCTGCTTCAATGATTTCTTCTATCGCAAGTTGGCGCCGGGTGCGCGGCCAATAGACTCTGAGGTAAGTGTTTGCGAGAGTGATTCAATTTAGGGTTCGGTTAAACCCCTAACCTTATAACATATTTAAGTCGGCTTTTCAGTTAGATAATAGCACGTGCTTATGGAACAGCATTGTTCTTTTTGTACTGAGCTATTACCATCACCATGAGAAACTACAATCCAGTATCATCAGATAAACTCAATACACAACCTCACATTGACAGGGGGATGATACAGTAGCAGTTTGCCCAGCTGACTGCCGGATGGTAGTATACGAAAGCGTCGTACAAGGTGATAATATGGAAATATCGTGGAATATATATATATATATATAGTAGGTGTGTGTGTGTGTGTGTGTGTGTGTGTGTGTGTGTGT